CCCGGGCACGGCAGCTCCCCCAGCGGGTCCTGGTGCTGCCCCCGCGGAGGGGCGGCCGGAGCTCCCCCGGGCCTGTGGGGGGGCCGCCGCGGCCACCGGCAGAGCAGCCCCCGCCGCAGGTGTGTGCGTGCGCCGCCGCTCGGTTCGAGCCCCCCGCGGAGGGGCCGAGCTCCCGCTGCCCGGTTCCCGCTGGGCCGCGGCCGCCCGAGCCCTCCCGTCAGCCCGGGGGCGGCGACTTGGCTGCGGGAACCGCCGAGGGCGGAGTGACCCGCCCGGGCCGCCCTCGAAGGGGGCACACAGGAGACGCTGCGGCGCGGAGGGGCCTGGGGGGGCCCGGTCCGTGGGGGCCTGAGGGGGCTGAGGCGCCTGGCTCCCGGCGCATCCCCGCCGCTGCCGGGGGCAGGTTTCCCGCCGCGGGGAAGGCGGGCGGTGGTGTTGGGCGGCCCCTCGGCAGCCGGACCACCTTAAGGAGAGCGGCGGCGGGGCCGTCCCGGGGGGTTGTCGTCCTCCCGGGACGGGGCGTTTGTTTGTTAATTGCCGCGCCCGGCGCTCCCGCTGGGGTCGTGATGGCTGCGATGGCGGGGAGCCGGCGGGGCGGAATTGTGTTTTTTGGGGGTGATCGGCCGGGTTTGGCGGCGGGAGAAGCGGAGCCGGGGCGGAGGGAGGCGGCCCGCCCGCGGGAGCGGGGTCCGGGGGCAACTAAAGGCGACGCGGGGCGCAACGAAAAAGCCACCCCGATTTTGGTGGCGGGTGCTGGCCGCTCCTCTGCCTCGGTTTAAATGGGCGCGGGATCGGCCCGTGAGGAGGAAATGGGCAATGATGGGGCAATAAAGACGTTTACCGGGCAATTTGCAAAACCCCTCCTTCCAGCGCCCACCTGAGGGAAGGTTTCGCCTTCCGACGGGAGGGGTGGGTGCTCGGGGGACGCGGCCGTCTGTGTTACCGCGCCTCGGGCTAGGAAATTAAAAAAAAAAAAATCCCATTACTAAGTACGTGTTATTATTTCTGGTCAAAATCAGAACTTTTCCCAAAGTTCTCGTGGTTATTTTAGTGCTAATTTAGTTAATGCCCTACTGAAGAGCGTTAGGAGATTGACCAATGCCCAGCGAAGATGGATGAAAAACTTGTCATCTGGCAGAGATCTGCGTGAGTGACAGGGGTAAAAACTCTCTTTCCAGCCCTGGATGTGATTCTCCATTTTAAGAAGTGACTGCTTTGCTCTTGGCTGCTTGAAGAGTACCTTATTTAAAAATCTCTCCAGAATGTTAAAAACGAGCGAGTCTCGTCTGGAGAGCTGGGTGAGTCTGTAAATTACCGCTCTGTCAGGATTCCTATTGCCTGTTACAAAGTACCTTTTTACGCTGAACTTAAGCTCTACACTACAGAGACAGCAGATGTGAGGTGATGGCTTCCAAAAGCAACACAGATGCTGTAAAATTTCCATTGCAATATTTCAGCAAGGAAACTCAGGAGACATGCTGAACGCTACAGTTTAGAATTACACTATAACTCTCCTAGAAATAAGAGAATACCAAGTTTCTCAACAGTACACTTGGCTTCATTTTTACAGTCGATCGTACACTCTTGTTTTTTTTTTTAGAGCGTGAAAAGAGATGCAGCACAAAGATACGGTGTGTCTCGAAGCTGTTCAGTAATAACAAAATTGGTAATATGGAACTTTATGGCAATTTAGTAATGATTGCATATCCAAATTCCCTAGTAAGACCATGGTAATTTTTGAAATTGTCTTTCAGGTATATAAAACAGCACAGCTGTGGGGAGGCTGCTTTACTTTAAGTGACTGAAAAGCAGCCTGGATAGCTCAAGGCTGTGGAATCACAGCCCATTGTGTGTTCCTCATATGCTGAGACTTCCCTGAAGTCAGTAGAAGTATTGAGATGAAGGAATCAAGGGTCAAGTCTTTAAAATGGTTTGTGTGTTTATTCCAGAAAATACAGCAGCTGCTTTTTCTGAAAAGCTGAGCTTTGCTATAGCAATACAGATTACTTTAGAGCACTTTTTTTTTTTCTTGGGGATTTCAAAACAGATGTCCAGCCATCAAATCATGCAGAAATACAAAGGCAGCAAGAATGTTACAGATACTACAACCTTTTGCAAACCCTCAAAATTGCCAGCAAGTAGATAACTCTTCTACGAGTCTTTGTTGCTATAGGTATGAGTGCCACTTCTGTTCAAACATTTAGGCTTGTCACTGGCCCCTCTAACATAACCTGGGTTTTTGTGTGTGTCTAAGGCTTTGCATTGGGGATTATATGGATGGCACCAAACCAGGTGATGGTTACTACAGGGCTTTTTAGTTTGAGAAATTAGTAAACTGGCTCTTGAATTTTATTTTTTTAAACTTGAAGAAAAATCCCACAGAAAATATAAGATTTTAAATGGTGTTTTGTTTATTCAAAAATACATTTGGTTAGTTTATGAGACTGAAAAACTGCTTTTTAGGTCCCACCTAATGTGCTCCAGAAAATTGTAGAGTGGCATTGTCTGCATTGGATAGGTCAATGAATGGTGCTTTTATAAAAATGTTTGAAAAGAAGAATTCAGTCCATGGAAATTGTTTAAATAATCTTGTTAGAACGAAGCCTTGACTGAAGGCAGTAATTTCATGGATTAAATCCAGAAGGGACTGTCTAGGCTGATCTCCTTCCTATCACAGGCCACAGAGCTTTATCCAGAGCCTGCCTACGCAAATCCTGGTGAGCTGCAAGACGGGGGATTTTGCATGGCCAGGACGTTGAACAATGCTGTGAAACCAGGAACTGTAGAACTTTTTAGGACAGGGTAACTGGGAACAGGACAAAATGTTATTACAGCCAGGTTAGTAGAGTATCTTACTATGTTCAGCTTTTCTGTAAAAGGAATCAATTAAAGGTAAAACAACCTATTTTTTTTTTTCCCAATCCAGCCTCTTCTCCTGTATGCCATAAGTGATCCAGAACCGGGCAACGTGATGAGCAATCCAAGTATGGGGAGGAACACATTGATTTGTACTTCTCCAAGTTTGCAAAGCAGAAATTATGGGTAAAAATCTGGCACTGTGAAACCTTCCAAGAAACAGGGATGGGAGAGTACAAGTGTGCATATATATCTTGTATTTTGATGGATATTTTTCCTTTCACAAAAATAAATTAAATGGAATTGACACATCTTCTGAGGCATCATGTATTTTATTGTGATTCGTGAGAACTTTTCATAGACAAGAGGAACAATGTTCTGTTTCCATGTTTGCAGGGATGTCAGATCTGATTGTGGCTGGACGCTACCATGATGCTACTGTTGGTTGGTGAGACATGAGAGAGCCTTTAGGCAAAAAGGAAATAAATTGAACACACTCTGCTGCAGTAGCTACTTCTGGAGGAAGCAACCTGAAAGCAGGTTGCGGAGATGGGGGAGAAACTGTTGGAACGGTACTTTGCTGTCCCTTTACCATAGAGGAGGATGACAAAGTGATGGATTGGTGCTGTGTTCTGAGGATTGCTCCAATGGTGAAGCTGCCAGTTGTAGCCCAGAATGTGGCTGGAGGATTTGCTGCTGAATTTAGGAGCAGACCATGATTAGACTTCTTCCTGAGCTGGTCTGGATGTGTGGGCTTCACTAGAGAAGCAACACAAACAGCAGAATCAGCACAAGAAGTTGGTGGGAACAGCAGCTTAGTGTGAGGGCGACATGTATCGAAGCGCTTACGTTTATTCTGCCACACTCTGCAGTTGATGATTGGGTTGCAATGTATTGGGTCACTTGGTGTAATTGTGTATTGTTTCATTTCTCATTAATGAAACAATGGAGGAGGAAGGAATGCAGGAAAATATGGATTATAAAAATTATGAAAGAAAGTAAGTGTTCTTGAGGGCAAGCTTTTAATTGTTCCTTAATATTATTTTTAAAATTTTGCCCATCATTTAGCAAGCTTTATTTATAATCTACCTGTGCTACAGATTGTAAATACCTCGTGATGTGATGTTTCACACGTGATAAATCATGTGACTTTTGAAGACAAATTGTCATGTGTTAAACAGTCCATGGATTCACTGTAACCATATTTGGAGAATAATATAAATATCATGCAGTTAAATAGCTAACCATACTAAATATGTATAGACATAGTGAGTAGTGTTGTCTTCTGATTGCCCAAGTGACGATCCATTTACGTTCTGGCAACTGGTAGAACACTTGCATGTAAATGCACTCTTGAATCTCAGGAAGGTTCTGCAGGTCCTGCCTGACAAGGAGAGGCTTGGTCTCCAGGGATAATGTGAGAGGATGCACACTCACTCACCACTCTCTCCTGAAAGTCAAAGCTTGCCCAGATCTCTAGTACACCAGTGACTCCTGCAGTGATACTTGTGATTCTCTGTGCTCCACCAAAATGTCACTAATGCTCACATGTGCTCAAATGGCAGACGCACCATCATTACTCCCAGTATGGGATGGGAAATCGAGTTGGTCGGTCTTCAGTTTTGAGGACCTCAGTTTTAACAACTTGTTTGTAAACACCTTCAAAGCTTCTGGTAAATATCCATTACTACTGCATCGCCATAGAATCATTTACGTTGGAAAAGATCATCAAGTCCAATCATTAATCTAACATTACCAAGTCCACCACTACCATGTCCCTAAGTACCACATCTACATGTCTTTTAAATACCTCCAGCACTGGTGACTCAACCACTTCCCTGGGCAGCCTGTCCCAATGCTTAATAACCCTGTCAGTGAAGATGTTTTTCCTAATATCCAATTTAAACCTTTCCTGGTGCAACTTAAGGCCATTTCCTCTTGTCCTCTTGTTATTTGGGAAAAGAGACCAACGTCCACCTGGCTTACCTGACTGAGCTGTAGCCACCTGGAGTGAGCAACTTCCAAATAAAAATGACAATCTGACCTTAAGATGATATGGCATGCGTGTATCTGGTCTTTGACGTCGGATCTACTGAAGGAATTAAGGAGGCTCTGTGTATGAATTTGACCCGTGTCAACTTAACTTTGTGGCATCTATGTCTGGGTTAGGTGACAGCGGACAGGGTGTAAGGAAGAACCACAACAGAGAAGCTGGGGAATGCAGGGCTCTTTCTTCTGTGCTGTAAATCAGAGTTGGAGCAGCTCAGTTGCCACACGGCAAGGAGCCGTGGGACTCCAGGTGAGAAATCTCGCCCAGCCTGTGCACAGCTCTCTACGAGCTGCTCCAGCCTGGTGGAAGTCAACATGAAAGAAGTAGATATGAAAGGTTTTGAGCCAAGGATGCCCCATCCGCAGTAAGCTAGTCTGGGCTATCAGCGTTGATATGGAGATAAGATTAGGCAGTGTAGTCCACTTTGACTTAATAACTTTTGTTTGCATAAACTATATGGAGACATTAGCTTCCATGTGTGCCCTCTCACGTGCTGTAAGTGAATGAAAAATTAATGAGGTGCTGCGTTTATGAGTAAGAAGTGAGCTGAAGAAAAAATGACACTTTATGTTGAACAGCATGGATAAGAATAAACCCCAGATATAATGAGAAAGTGAAATCTGTGTAACTCATTTGAAGAGGTGCGTGTGTCATTAAACGCTTGAACAACACAAAGTTGTTCATAAATTCTGACACTACTTTTTGTACCTCCTAAGTCAGTAATAGTATAATTTAAGGCAATAATGCTTTTCATGCATGTCTGAAATGGACATTTTTTAAGTTTCACTATTTCCAGTCCCAACTTTTAATGGAGGATGCACAGTAGTAATTTTTAAAATATTGGATGATGATAAAAATCACACTGAGAAATTCTTACTGAAATTACTCATTGCCCTGGAGTTAAAATGGAAATAACAAACATATCTTTCATCACTCATTTTGAATATTTATTCTTTGTATTTCACTTACTCTAAACAAATTTTTTATCTCTGGGGCTAGATCCTGACTAATCCTTCACTGTGTTAATTTTGCTGGGACAACACATAAGTGGCTGGTGATTCCAAATATGAATAAGGACAGCAGGCTTGGGCTTGTGCTAATTTTGATGAATAAATTGGCCTCAAGAATGACAAGTCGTGTTAGCACTTTTCACTTTACGACATTAGACAGTCAAAGATGTTAACTCTGTGCAGGGAATCAGCATTAGGCACTGTTTGGAACTGCTTATACGGAACTCTTAGGTGCCTAGTCTCAGAAGAAACTGGCTCTTTTAAAACCTTTCCTTTTAGCAAAAGAATGGTGTGACTGAAAAGCAAGGTGTTGAGAGAAATTTCACTGTAATAACAAAATGTCCCTCCTTTAGTTTTACCCACTGAGTTTTTAATAAGAATATTCCTTTGCCAGTGCCTTTGAATTTTCTTGGTTCTTAGTTGGTGCTAATGATGGCAGTTATTACACCGTCTTCTGTGTGTGTGGTTGGGGAAAAGAAAATAGTACCCCACTGGTATGAGATTTTTTGCAGTTGTCTTTTGTGGGGTCACAAAAGACGCAGTCTTGATTGATTTATTTATTTTGCCTTCAGGGCATGGGGGATGCAATTGTACAGCAGAAAATAGCCACACAGGAAGAGATGGATATTAGAAATTTAGTTCTAACGTCGTCCCTGGAAGTATTAGTTGGGTGATTCTCTGTCTTGGTCTGGTCAGGGCCTGTTTCTGGATGAGAGGTTTTCAGTTCCTCCAGTGAGTTGTGGGCTTCCAAGAAAAGGGGTGATAACAGCCATAATGGGTTAGCTGTTATTCTCAATTTTTATTGCATTAGCCTTATCAAATTTATTCCTTCTGCTTAATTCACTGAATTAGAGAGCCCTGAAAGGGAATAATGAGTGGAATATCTCACTTTCTTGCCACTTTGCCAGTTTTGCTGTAGAGATTTTTTGCATTACAGATTTCTTACCTAGTAACTGTAGCCATTGTTTGAATCTTATCTTCGTCCTTTTGTGTGTTAGACTGGTTGGTCTTTTGTAACTTAGGACTCATAGACTAAGTTATCCCATCTAATGAGCCCTTACTGGTTTTGTTTGGTTTTAGCTCCTTGGCTTTTGAACAGTCCTGCTAACAGGACTGCCATGGAAAAATTGAAACATTTCTCTGCAGTTTAAACTTTTTCTGACTTGTGTAAGGATGGATCCAGATTGGAAGGTTTGAATCTGCAGGTTAATGAACAAGACCTTGCTTGACCCATGAAATTTCCTGCATGAATTTTTGATAAAAAATGCAAAGATTTTTTCATTGTTGTCTTAATTTTCTAGGAAAAACTACATGCTTTGACAGAATTCAGAGGACTGGAAGACATTGTCTGCAAACTAAAACTTCTTGATCTGAAAAATGTTACTGTAGTCCTTCCTCTTCCAACATTAGCATCTGGACACCTGCGGGTCCTATTCTGCAAGGCTGAGGCTGCGAAGCACCTTCGACCCTGTGCCATGGTCTTTCCTCTTTGAATGGAGTGCTGGAAGTAGGGGATCCCTCAAAGTCATGGGTGATTGGTGTTGTCATTTAATTGGTAAGTCTAGTTGATAGAGGGGATCTGCCACGTAAAGCACGTAAGCTGCAGATTTAATGAGATGCTAAACTAGAATTTCTTAATAACATTTTTGTTTTAAATCAAAATATTTTGGTTTGTAAGTTTGGCTTTTTGGTAAGAAAAGTATATTTGCAGAAGCACATACTTAGACACGCCGAAAAAAAAAAAAAACCCCAACCAAAAAGCGTTTAGCTGAAAACCTCATTTCCCATCAAAAATAGATACAGTGGAAAATTTTCAAGCAGCCCTATATTTAACCTTCTTGGATCAAAATTCAGTTGTTGGACTGAGGGAGGCTCACAGAGGTTTTTTGCTGCTTTTGTTAGGGTGTCTGTTTTTTCACTTAGGACATCTGCCTGCTTTTCCAGCTATATTCAACCTTGTTATAATTCTTTCCCTTGCAGCATTTCGCAGTGCTCAGAATGCTGGTTCCCACTGGACTCAACTTGCTGGGATGTCTGCAAACTCAAAGGTTTCTTTCAAGGGGTGCATCAATCTTACTTTTTTATTTCGGCTGGGTTTTAATAAGCAAATATGAGTAGCTGTATCCACGAACACTGAATATGCACAAAACATAGCATTACTGTGATACAGTTCTTAGTTCTTTGCCTTGCTTTGGGACGTTGTAGATGCAAACAGTGCAGGTGAGTTGAAGGGGTAATGGGCTAAGTGCTTAAAGAGAAGACCCATTGGGCAAGGTAAACAGATAAATCACATCAGACTTGGGAATTCCTGAGTGGAATATAGTTGAAGGCTGGGGAGTTATTCTGGGAAAATACTGTATTTCCTTTCTTTGCTCATGCTGTCTTCTCTTGGCTCTGACTTGTGGAAGCAGGATACTGAGCTAAAGGGACCTTTGATCCCAATTGGCGTAGCCATCCTTGAGTAAGAAGAAGCATAATGACTAAGTGGGGACTTTGGCAATTTGTAATTCAGCAAAATTTATCAGAAATGAAACTCCTTCCTCCAAGAAAAGTAAAACAATCACAAAAGACACGACCACAGGAACAGAGAATTTAGCCTGAATAGGTTGGGATTCTGGAGTCTCAAGCTTTCTGTTGATTTCTGTTGATTTGCTTTTGCAGCTTCCATTTCTCATTCATTTCTTCTTGTAGCAGTAAGAATCTGATACCATTATATCTTAAATACAACAGTGAGCCTTTTTGAGTGTTTTTCCAGAGTTGGTGGGTAGAATGTTAGTGTAAGACTCCTGCAAAGTTCACTGGACTTTGTATTGAGACAAGAAGAGAAAAAAAAAGCTAATATTGAAATTCAGGGAGAAAAATTGTTAATATGACCTACATTGGTTTTAGTATGTGTTATGTTCTGTCATTAGTTCAGTGTTAGAATGCAGTTTGTAGCCAGAATCTATCAGCAACTGGCAACATGTGGTGTTTCTTAAGCAAAAGTTGATTGTTATTCTTTATTGCTTGTTTTGCATTTTAGCGCTCTTAACAGAAATACTTTTCTTGATATTTTAAACTTTTTTTTTCATGGCAATTTAATTTAGATTGCTTCATGACTGCTAAGCAATACTATGCTTTTTAGCCTTCACAGGCATTAATGATCAAATCTGTATATGAACATATGCTTAGTTTTGTAAGACAGCAGCTAATTTTTTTTTTTTTTTGTATTTTTAATAAGCTCTTCAGAAGTTTTAAGGTTACCTGAAAGTAGATATATCTAGTTATATTCCTGTGTACTTAAGTTTATTTGGTAGTTATATTGACCAAAATAGATGATGTCTCTTTCATTTCTTTTCCTGACGAGGTATATGTTTTTCCTTCAAATTTCTGTCAGCAGAATTTGATTATAGTACACTGTCAGTAGATTACCAGTAATTTCCCTCTTTCCTGTTATTATTTTAGAATTATTTAAAATAAATATTTTCAAGAAAAGGTAACAGCCAGACAACATTTGAAAGGAAGAAATAGTTTTAGTATTGTTGAGAAAGAGATTCGTCATTCTAGTAACAAAGTTGTGGCAGGAGAGGGCATGGAGAAAGGAAAGTACAATATTGAAGTATAAAAGTGAGCTCCTAAGGTACAACTTTCCAGCTGTTCATGTGTGGAATCCAAATACTTTTTGAAGCATAGTGCTACACAGTCAATTAGCTTTACTTCAAGTAATTATTGCATAAGGAAGACTTTTTAGTACATTAGAATGCGTGAGTTGGAAAAAGTAGCAAAATAAATGTATGTCCAGGTTTTCCTAAAAATGCAGTGAAAATATGCAAATTCTTTTAAAATGAACTCAGAAATTTTGTGAAGTGAAAGGAGAGATTGTAGTCCTGTCTCTAAAGTGTGTCAAGAATAGCGAGAATAGTGCAACCTCTCTCACATCATTTGTATGCCTTAATCTGAATCTTAATGATAGTGTCAAGAAGTGAGAAGTAAGTGGAGTTGCCAAATCTGTCCACTCTTTTGAAACTGGAAGAATTGTGGGAAGTAATTGGGTGAGAAATAAACATGTGTTAACAAGTAATTGGACTGAGACTATTAAATTTCTTTCATTTAAGTAGTAGGTAGTAACTACTTAAACTTCAAGGAAAAGAGAAGATTACATCCTGCGAAACTTTCTCATGCAAAATAGTCTATCCTCATGTCAGTGATCCTGGTTACTTTAAAGTGTCTGCTTGCTTGAGAAAAGGTTTGTCAAATCGGGTCTTTAAATGGGAGAGGGGATTAGGAAACAAGAGACAAAATCCAGCTTGCAGTGGGAGTTAACTTTTGGAGGTGTGGGGCAGAGAATGAACAATGAGCATCACCGTCTTTTCAATGCTCAGTACTATCAAAACTGGTTTTCTTACAGGTAACCCTTTATTGGCAGAAAATTTGTGAAAGAGTCAGTGACGGAAAATGCTCTGGTAAAAAAACATACAAAGATTCTCGTGCCAAAATCTACAGAGTTAGGGGATTTATCTTCTACAGATTTAGGACGTGATGAGGGTAAATTGAAAAAGTGTTTCTGTGCTTACAAAGCCTAATTACTGTTGTGTATGTCAGTCTCTTGTCTGCTTTATACAGCTGTCCATGCTATCTCACTGGTGTTTTTGAAACAAACAGTATTTTTACAAGGATCACTAATTTGGATTGGGATATAAGAAATAGTTGTTAGTTTTATGGATAGTAAAGCTGAATATCATAATTTGCAGTTTTAAACAAACTGTTTCATTCTCTGTGTAAAACAAAATAACTTCAATATGCTTGGTTTTTTAATTAACAAATATAGATTTGGTAAAAAATATCTTCCCTAGTATCATGCATGGAGATTAGGTTAGACTGTGTTACAGAATAATGGGATAATAATGATTTTCTTAAGAGAGTACAAAAGCAGCATCTAAGTTTCAGCTGACGTTTATTGACACACAGCATCAGCTGGGAGCCCCATCAAACTTCCTATTCTTTCCTGTTTACCACCTCCTGCTTTTATTTACAGTCAGCATATCTGTTAATTAGCCTCAGGTAGAGCCAGTTCTTCTAAGAAGATCTCTTGTCTTCCTGGTGATGGCCCCATGAGGTGACCATGTACACACAGTCTGTGAGTAAATTAATCTTTAACTCATTAATTTCAGTTCCTGATTCTGAAATGTTGAACTGCTGGCTTGGTTTTATACTCAGTAGTTTGTATTTGGAGAATTGTGGACCTTGACTCCCACTGACTTCAATATCATGAACACATTCTAGTGAGGTCTCAGCATCTTGTGGTTACCTCATTGGAATTCATATTTTCTTGTTGTTTTTTGGTTTGCTATGGTTGGAGATAGCTCATTGGAGGCTTCCAGATAAATGCTCTGTATCACTGAGATTACTAACCGAGTTTTCATTTCACTTTTGCAGAATGGAATTACTCCTCCAGTTCCTCAGCTGTCTCTGCTGCACAATATCTGAATGTGACATTTTACAAAAAATCTGATGTAACGGTGCAATTCTTGGATCTCACAAGGGTGTACTCTGTAGGGAATCTCTATTCTCACCAACTTCATTTAGACCTCGTGATGATAAGAAGTTGTTTACAGCTACAGCCCGAATGCTGTGGTGGTTGTAGTACAATTCTCTCACAGCACAACTTGTTTATTATAAAAGAAAAAAGTTGCAGTCATATTTGCAGGAAAAATTTAGGAACAGGATTCAGAGACCTCTTACCCAAGTCTACAGGGCATGCTAGAAGTGCTCTGAGAGGTGTGAGCTGATCTGTGCATCTCACTGGGGTGTTAGAAATCTTGTAGTTTCAGTGTTAATGGTTGTGTTTGTTTCATCTGAAAGCTAAGAAAAGAAAGAGTGGACCACTTATCTGCCCAGTCAGCTGTAGGTAATGTCTTTAAGCGATGACCAAGTTCCTCACTTTTGCCAGAATGCCGTTTATTCCTACTTCATCCTCCAGTTGAGGAGTAGCTAGACTCTGAAAACCCAAGCGCAGGTTACAGGTGCCCTTGAAATCCTGCCCAGAGCTAGTGTGAGTATGGAAAGCCATAAAGTACACACTGTGGTAGTGTGAGCTTTTTAATGATTTAAGAAGAGAGCTCTACTGGTAAAAACTCACTGCTTCAGTTTTTAAAAAAGCAACAGTAATAATAATGAAAAAAAACCAAAAACAACCCAGCCAAATAACCAACAGTATAATCCCTGGAATACATCCAATTTTTATCCTCGAAAAGTACCTCAAAGTAGTATGACTTCCTCTCTTCAGTGTGGGATTATTTGTGCTGATCTAAAACATTTCATGCTGGCACAACTGCATCCCATTGTCTAATTTTTGTGGCTAAGCAGAGCCAGGTGAAGTAACTTAGTTTTAAAAGAATTAGAAACCCTAATTCCTTTAAATCAAATTCCAAAGACATCCAGATGTCCAGGATACTGAGAAAAGAGGCACAAAAATCTGAAAAGGGAAGGTGAGTGTTTGCTGCTCTTGGTTCATGGCTTTGGAGGGTTAGGGGTGACGCAGTGTTGTGACAAAAAAAATCAGTGAAAAGTATTAGTGGAAGTTTCCACCATCTTTAATTGCAAGAAGCCAATGCTGACTGAGTATTAATGTTTCATGGGGAAGTAAAGGCTGAAGGGGAAAGGTGGGTGAAATTTCTTCAAAACATTGTAACTCCTTCTGTGTATTTTGTGGTTGAAGGACAGAGAGATAGGAGATGCTGGAAAGAATTCTTCAGCAGTATTTTATAGGTACTATTTAAGCTAACTTTGTTAAGGAGAAGCTCCTTTACTATTAGCATGCTGTCAGATTTTTCAAATCTCTTAAAGGCAGCACCAGGATTTTTTTTGCACAGATTTCCTTTGACATACAGCCTCAATAAGTATGGAAATTACAACTTAAATCTTTTTTTTTTTTTTCTTGTAAAGCACTGCAGTGCCAAAATTCATTGAATTTCAACTTTTATTTTTTTCTTAATGTTGAAAGACAGATATGCAAATTTTACTAACAATATGCATGGTTAAATTTAGCTGTAAATTCCAGTCAGGGATTTCTGCTTTGTTTATTGTCCAAGTCAATATGTCTGTGGAGAAAACCTCCCGCTGTGCAGGAATACGTAGTCAGCTACTTGGAAAAGTGGAAAGTTTAATTATGAGAGTTTATTCTGGAAAAAGGTAAAGAAAAGCAAGCATCGGTTTTGGGTTCGTTTTCTCTCTCTCTCTCTCTCTTTCTCTCTCTCTCTCTTTCTCTCTCTCTCTCTTTCTCTCTCTCTCTCTTTCTCTCTCTCTCTCTCTCTCTCTCTCTCTCTCTCTCTCTCTCTCTCTCTCTCTCTCTCTCTCTCTCTCTCTCTCTCTCTCTCTCTCTCTCTCTCTCTCTCTCTCTCTCTCTCTCTCTCTCTCTCTCTCTCTCTCTCTCTCTCTCTCTCTCTCTCTCTCTCTCTCTCTCTCTCTCTCTCTCTCTCTCTCTCTCTCTCTCTCTCTCTCTCTCTCTCTCTCTCTCTCTCTCTCTCTCTCTCTCTCTCTCTCTCTCTCTCTCTCTCTCTCTCTCTCTCTCTCTCTCTCTCTCTCTCTCTCTCTCTCTCTCTCTCTCTCTCTCTCTCTCTCTCTCTCTCTCTCTCTCTCTCTCTCTCTCTCTCTCTCTCTCTCTCTCTCTCTCTCTCTCTCTCTCTCTCTCTCTCTCTCTCTCTCTCTCTCTCTCTCTCTCTCTCTCTCTCTCTCTCTCTCTCTCTCTCTCTCTCTCTCTCTCTCTCTCTCTCTCTCTCTCTCTCTCTCTCTCTCTCTCTCTCTCTCTCTCTCTCTCTCTCTTTCTCTCTCTCTTTCTCTCTCTCTCTCTCTCTCTCTCTCTCTCTCTCTCTCTCTCTCTCTCTCTCTCTCTCTCTCTCTCTCTCTCTCTCTCTCTCTCTCTCTCTCTCTCTCTCTCTCTCTCTCTCTCTCTCTCTCTCTCTCTCTCTCTCTCTCTCTCTCTCTCTCTCTCTCTCTCTCTCTCTCTCTCTCTCTCTCTCTCTCTCTCTCTCTCTCTCTCTCTCTCTCTCTCTCTCTCTCTCTCTCTCTCTCTCTCTCTCTCTCTCTCTCTCTCTCTCTCTCTCTCTCTCTCTCTCTCTCTCTCTCTCTCTCTCTCTCTCTCTCTCTCTCTCTCTCTCTCTCTCTCTCTCTCTCTCTCTCTCTCTCTCTCTCTCTCTCTCTCTCTCTTTCTCTCTCTCTCTCTCTTATAACTTCAGCTAACAGAAATACAATGTATACGGTTTGTTTTGACACTATTGTCAGACAAACCACCTGCTTAATTCTTTAACCGGGTCACCTGTGTAACTGAGGTCTGAAAGAAAGTAGAGGTCATGAATAAATGATGCATTTCTTAAACTTGCAAGGTAAATTGTGACATAAAGGAAAAAAAAATCCAAGTGTGAAGGAAAAAATATACACACATGTATTGCTGAGAATATCTTCATTAAAATGCAGCTTACCCTATGAAGATATTAGTATCAGGTTGCCTGAAAGATGCAAATTTCCTTTGTTGCTTTCTCATAAGTTATTTTTGGTGTTGTGAGTGTTAAAAATCAAGTATCTTTACACAGGGTTTCTGAGTGGAAACCAAGTGTTGCTGGGGAATATGTGTTATAAATGATATACAAACATATTCTCATGTTTATAATGGAAAGCTCTCCAAGATTTTAATTACTGGAGTGGTTCCCATTTCTTCAGTTTTTAAAAGTCATTTACACAGAATACATTTTATCTAGCTATCTATATAAAAAAAACACTGCATGCAGAGAAGACAATTATCCTGCCTACCTAGAGTATATATAATACTGTAACAGTCTGTATTCCTCCTTGTGGTTCTATGCATATTTCTCCTTTCTAAGCCTGTTCAACTGTAATATGAAGAAAATGTTTATGAAATTCTATAATGGATGATGGTAATTAGATTTACTCTAAGCCAATAAAATTTAAATAAAATATGTTATGGCTAATATTTGGATTGCATGACTTTGATCAGATGGGTAGGCATTTTTGGTTTTTTTTTTTTATCTTTGCATCTGTGTAGGACTGATCCATGACCTGAGCTTGTAGGTTCTACAGTAATACAAATAGTACATGATAATTGTGTGTGAAGAAAGGCTGGCAGCTTTACAGAGGAAATTACTGAACCTGTAGGTAGGTTCAGGATAAGCAATTGTCTATAACATCCCTTCCCCCATACTCTGCGTTTCTATAATACAGCTGCTCTTCTGATGCTTTTACCGAGTCCCATTAAATGGTCCTGTGTGTAGGACATTACCTGTATTTATAGTAGAGTGGGAGTTTTGTTCCGAGTCACTGGTGCACCAAGAGTTTCTTCGAAATATTCTTCTGGTTGCCTAATACAGTGAGAGAGGCACCAGATGAGGCATCTACACTGGTGCCTTATGGTAATGATCCCTGAGCCCAAATCCTAAGAGATGTGGAGGTGACTAATTTCCTGTAGAACTGAGTGAGAGTTTAAGTTCCTAAGCAGGATTTAGGAGCCTAAATACCTTGGAATTCTCCATGAATAAAGCTTACTTACAATATAGCTCCTTAATTCTCCACATATCCCTGTATTCTTCCATGCATGTTCCTCACTGGTCTCCTGTTAATTGGCAATTTGGATGCTTGATTGTGTTTCTGTTTTGGGATATGTTTCTTCCTAATCTTATCCTGTATTTGTTTGGACTGCCTCTTTTCAGCTCTCTCCACTCTTACACTTTGTGTACCTAATAAAGGCACTAACGTACTGAATTTCCAGTGACTAGCTTCCCTCATGTTGGCATGTGTGAAGCGTAATATTGGTATTTGGAAGCATAATATTTGGTATTAATACAGCTAGCTACCTTGTGAAGGTGCTATAAAAGCAATCATTAAGGCTCAAAATTGACAGGGATTTGACTGTGTTATCCACTCAGTGTTTTCTAACCAATGTAGGCTAAACATGTAAGTTGTATATTAGCCAAATTCTACTTCATTTGATTGGAGGGTAGGGCTAGGGTTACATGTCACAAATAGTCAAATAATGCAAAGCCTTATGTCCGTCTAATGTGTTTGTCATTGAAGTGACTCTGCTGGTTGCTCTTCTGAAACTAGCAGTAGTAAATCAGGGCATAAATCAACTTTTCTCTGGCTGTGTGTGATCTGACTTCTCTGTTAGTTCAGTACACAGGTTACCTGTAACTGAAGTGCCCATTGAAACCATAATGCTTTCTTCCCATGATAGACTTTTAACTTCCACATTACAATTTTCTTTAAAGTGCAGCAGAAGTAGAAAGGAATTAAAGCAGATGTAAACAAAGACTATAGTGTTAAAGAAAGCTCTGAAAAATCTACCATCCTTCACTCGCAGTGCATCTTTTTCACTTACCATGAACCAAGTTTTCCATAGGACCACAAGTTTTCCATAGGACCTCAACAAGAGGGATCCCTTGCCCCGCGTCCTGGTAGATGAAGTGCCTGGAAGAAAGCAAGTAACCTACAGCTGTTGGCCTCTGCTGTTGCCAAAATGATGACCTAGAGCAATGTCAGTAGCTGCTGTAGCGGGGAATGGTGAAGAAAGAGAAAGCTTCCAGGCCTAGGAAAATTAGGGAAAGGTGAACAAGTGGAGGTAGGGGGTCCCAATTCTTTCAACACAGTTGCTATTGTACCATACTCTCTTTTTAAAAGGTGAGTAAATTTATACCAGGGAAAGAAGAACACAGGGAGTGTGGTTTCTAGCCCCAAAGTGGGATGACAGCATTGTGTTATCTGTGTGGCTTCTGGACTTTGTCAATAGAGAAAGCCTAAGAGCATATGTTGCTGAGGGTACATAGGCCACCAACCACACAGGAAAGAGGAAATCACCCTGTCAAGGATGGTGTCCACGGTAACAAGATTTTTTGGATGGCAGCTGAACGGATGGAAGAGTGTTGGAGAGGCAGTGACTAATGTGAGGATGGAGGGGGCATATGGTCTGTGTTCCTTTTGCCTCATTGCTAAATTCAGAGAATCATGGAATCATCTAGGTTGGAAGGGACCTTTTAGATCATCAAGTCCAACCATAATTTTTTCCCTTCAGTGTTGTTTGCAAGAATAAAGCTGATTTATGTGAGTAAATTGGTTTCTGGACTAATACCAGTGTCCTTCTCAGCTAGTGGTATGTGAACAGTTTTCATACAATCCAGTTTTGCCACAGTTCTGGCTATGAGTAATCTTAGTGGATTATAAAAAATGCTAAAATACTAAAAAAAAAAGTTTTAGGAGTAGGATACAGTTGCAGTAGTGATCTAAGTACTTAGATACCACAGACTGCTTTTTGCTTGTGAAACTTGTTTTCTTTCTGTATCTTCAACAAAGGAACATTAATTAATTAGAGAAATTAATTAATGACTGTTTCTTGTAGCTCAGTGATTCATGCTGCTTGGCTAATCGATGGCCATGGATGTTGCATGTGTAAGTAGTTAGGAAGACTTTGTTTTTACTCATGCTGACTCTTATCACAGGGCATCATTACTGAGGAACACCCCAGGTGGACCATGGCCCTTGCAACTCCACCTCAGTGAGGGGTGCTTTCAAAGGGCTTTATCTATTGCCACATCAGTGCAAGGCCGAAACGTATTTCATAAATAAACCCATAGGATCAGAGAGCAACTGAACTGGAGATGATGAGAATATGGTAAACTAGGTTAGGAACAGGTAAATGTTGGTGATCCTTGAGGGACTTTTTGCAACTCTGCCTGTGGCAATGTGGCTTCTTCCAATCTTCTCTTTAGCTGTGGGATTGTTGCCTAATGGTAGGTCTAGGTATTCAATTATGAACCTTCTATTTAAAAGCTGTTTAGCTGTTCTCAAACCAATATTGTTAATTTTCTACCTAACAATGGTGGTTAAAATGAAAGTTGTTTGTACTTGGTCATCCTGTTTCATGATAGATGACTCTGGGAGCTCAATTTATAGACTCTTTTTCTTAGAATCATCTAGATCTTTCTGAATGCCAAATGCAACCAACTGAAATGTCCAGAGATTAATAATTATTTTAGATTAATTAGATTTAAAATTATTTTTATTCTGATCTAAAAGTCACAGCACATTTTTTACATAGAAGTGTTGGTATCTCCCATGCAATGGATTTTTTGTGCCTTTATTGTAATGTAAATAAGCATTTGTTAGGAATGCAGAATATAAGTGGCCTTTTGACTGATATGATATTTTCACCTACTCTATATATGT